ATCCACCAGGCTCCCTTTGTTGCCTCTGTCTCTGACTCTTACACACAAGCTTTCGACTTGCTCGTGGCTATTCTTCAGGGACAGCTCTTCACACTGTATTGATTTCTTTATGTAGAGGGCAATGCCTCTGCCCCTCCTTCCTTGCCTGTCTCTTCTAAATAGTCTGCAGCCATCAATAGCCACACTCCAGTCATGGGATTTGTCCCACCAAGTTTCAGGGGTCGTAGCTGTCTAGTAGCACAGCAGCTTCCAACTGCTCCTGTTTGTTCCCCATGCTGCGTGCATTCGTGTAGAGGCATTTCATCTGGGCTGTTGGCCGTGTCACCTTCTTAATGGAACATCCCTTGTTTCCCTTGGGGTGTTTCACGAAGGTTTCCTTGTGAGCTCTAACTATCTCAGGAGCCCCTGGCTCATCTCTGCAAAACTTCAGCTGTGCTGCAGCATCCCCATCATGCCTCTGGGCAACAGGTTGAGGGCTCACAGTAGCACCCCATCCCTCTAACCATTGTGTACCGTCCCACAGCTTGTCACAGGCAAGCCTGATATATTCCCTCTCAGACAGTTTATCCAGTGCAGTTAGTAATACATGGGTACATGCAGACATTGGTTTTGTGTCAGAAAACATCTGTATTTTAGTAAACTGAATGGTACTTGAGGTGACAGATGTACTCAGTGACAAAACCTCACAGATGCCTAACTGCTGTGTCCACTACGGTGTTTCATAACTAGAGGACAGACAACACTACCAGACTGCGCTTCCTTTTCTAAGCAACTAATTCACACAGAAGACTATTTGCCTGTTTGTGATACACATGTAGGCTTGAAAAATGGAAAGCTTTTTCTTTCTCTGAAAAAAACCACCTTTCTGATGGGAATTTACATTAAGAAAAGTTGTAGTTGCCTCCTTTGTTATTTGCAGAATAGTTCTTTATTATACACAAGTATTTTACTCAGTAATACTTGAATAAACAATTTACCCATACTCAATTTTGTTGAAGATAATCTTCATTTTACACCACTAAGGACAGGAACTGCATAGTGTCTTAAGTTGAACACTCTGGAATAATAGAATTGTCCCTGTTTTTAAAGATGGTATTAAGAAAAGTTAATGGCAAAGCTTTCTGAATCTGCTACACTTTCAACAATCTCTTTAATCCATGGGATGTAATTGGATACTCTCGTATATACACCGTATTTTCCTTTTTCAGCACAGCCCTCACCCCAGCTTACGATCCCCAGGAGAAACCAAGTGTTGCGGTAAGACACTGTGAAAGGGCCACCGCTGTCCCCTTTGCAGGCGTCTGCAACTTCCGCCTTGTAACCCGCGCAGAACATGTTATCAGTAATGAGTCTGTCTGTTGACTGCTGACAGGTCTCCATGTTTATAATGGGCAGCTGGACTTTCATGAGGAAGCGCAGAGTCGAACCTCTGTCATGAGTGGCACCCCATCCGCTTACCATCCCTATTCTTCCTTCTTCAGATAGCAGGGTGGCAAGGTTAGGGCTTGGAAGGCAGATGGGAATTGCATACTCGTTAAAAATTACATCACTGCTCAAGTACAACAAGGCGATGTCACTGTTGTAGTCATTTGAATCATAATGTGGATGTGTCCAGCTCCGTTCCACATCAATCTTCTGTTCTTTGAATTCTCTTTGATATTTGTCAAAGTCTCCTGTAGTCATGACAAGTTAAAATGTTAAGCAAATGGTAAACAGCCTGTAGGGTATTGTCATGGAGGAGCAGGAAGGATGGTAAATCAACGCTTTGACCTTTCATCCCAAGAAGGCACAGACCAAAACAAATCATGCCCTGTAACAATAATTTCTTATGCTGCAGATGTGATCCTGCAAATCAAGCTTAGTGGCTTGCCCTTTAAGGGCAAAAGAAAGTTGTTGACTGGATGAATAGATACTTCAAGAGATTATGGCTTCCGGGGTAGGAGTTTTACCATAAGTACAGTCAATGCTTTTTAGTAAGCACTGTATTTTGAACGGTTTGTCTCTCTAAGCTTCCATGGGACTTTGTGTTTTCCCCCTCAGGAACATGACATAAGCATTAAGATGCGGCGGTGGGTAAGGCTGAAGAATTGTTTCCTGCCAGTTATCCAGTGCTGTATTCTGTTTGCACCAATGCATGTCTGTCTCTCTTCTGGAGGTTTCAAGCACAAGACAGTGTGTATTGCAGCATTCCTAAAAAAGGTTCCAATTCCTGCTATTTTAACCAGTGCTGCAGTACATTACAAGGGAGAGGGGCTTTACATTTGCCTGCATTACAGGCAATGAGAAGCAGGCAGCACAGCAGGAAACTAATCTTAAGGCTGATGATTAAAAACTAAAACTGACTTTAGAGCAGACCATCACCTACAGGAATCCTCCATCCTTCTGAGGTGTACCCTGAGATGTGCTCAGTCTGCATGCACAAGGAATTTGCCAAAACGGGTGACAGAAAAAGATAAATCTGTGCCTTATGCTCCCAGGTTCTCCATGAAAACAAAAGGGACCAGGCTGGAGCCCCTTTGCACTTAACTGTTGCCAAGAAAATGAAGCATTCTATAAATCCGAGTCAGGTTGGATGTGTCCGTTTCTCAGCCATACCTTATTATGTTCACGTACAATGCAAAGTGCATTTTAAGTAAGAGATTACCCCTGTGTTTATACTATATACAAATTGTACTCACCTATGGTAACATGGTGTGGTCTGACGAGATCAAGGCAGTGAGCCGCAGTGACCACCCAGCGACTGCTGATTAAACTCCCTCCACAGAAGCCAATATCTTTACTATTCCGGATCAAAACCTGTATGAAAGATGAGGAAGAACATGTCACCAGGGCTGTGTTAGGTATGTATGCACACTATCAGTTTCTCTCTCCGGTCGGTTGCAGGTGCTGCATCTTGAAAATAACACTTCTGGCAATCATGACTACAGTCCACCAAGCAAAGATGATGATGTTAAAACACTAATAAAATAAAATGATTGCACACCTGTGACAATGGAGCAGAATATTATGATGAACTAAGCTTGACAAAATCAAATAGGATTAGCTCTATGGTGACTGGCATCCTCCTAGGGAAATGAGTATGATTGTGATTCTTCATATGGCTTCAACTTTTTTGGGGGGTGAGGGAGAACAGTAACACAAGGTGTATTTCATTTGGTACTTGGGTTAAAAAAGAAGAGCGGGGTGTTTGTCTACATGAACAAGGAATAGAAAAGAGTTTTTTCCCCCCTTCTCAGCTGTCAAGTAAAAGTGCAAGTAAAGTAGGGATTCAGAAACTTTATTTTTCCTTTTATTGCTAATAAAAAGATTATAAGCTCTATTAATGCCTCAGCATCCCTTCAATTAAATTCCTCCCTTAACCCGTTATTTCATGTGTTAAACTGAAGGAAAAAATTTTGGTACTCTGTCATTTCAGTGAAGTTAGTAATCACATAGTTCCTGGAGTAATGTCATGTTGTACATAAGCCATTTTGACTTAATTCTATGTACTATTGATGCTTTTAATTCTGTTCAGTAGTGCTAGAACAAAACATTGCTAAGTAGCAAAGAAAAATTACCTGAAAATTCTGTCTTAGGTTATGAAGAACTGGAATGGAAAGGGTTTGCGAAACCCTTTTTAAAACAACAACAAAAAAAATATAATGCAAGATTCAGTTATGAATTGCCTGATGTAATGAAAATTTAAAACTTCCCTGATGGTAACACTTTGTTTCAAGAAGAAACTGTATAGGTTAGGCAGCATTCAGACTATAGTCCCTTCTTGCAACCCAAAATGAGGTCTCACTTGATCAAAAGGAAAGCAGCTGATGTTCCTCCTAGATGCGTGCCAGATGGCAGAAACCCATACAATTTACTAGTAGTGATATTTCAGCTTGCAAGACTGCACAATGACTGCATGGTCCACACAGGTTCAGCCTACTCTTTTTTTCCACCTGTAAAATACCTCCTGATGTGTGGAATGGGAAAATCTTTTTGTGTGACAGCAATAAAATACACTGACATTAACCTGAGTTTTTTTAGATCAGTTTGTTAACTTTCTAGGCACAAGCCCATAAATAATAATAGAGAAATAGAGACAATATAAGTAAGTGAAAATTAGTAACAAAGAAGGGGGACACCCCCCCCCCCCCAAAAAAAAAAAAAAAGCCCAAAACCAAGACTTAAAAAAAAAAAAGATACTGGAAATAAAAGAAACGCTTCAGGGAGGTTCCCCTACTTGCCACATGTCACTCACCTTCACATTTGAGTCAATTTTATCTTCCTTACTGTAACAAGTATGAAAAGCTCAGCATTCTAATGAAGAATCTCACCTGGTCATAGAAAATTTTTTGTGAAAAATATCACCAGCCATTCCCAAAGGAGTCAGAAGCACAGCTTTTCACCCAGAACATTTAGAAACAACCTGAATAACAGAGCAGGAAGATCTGATTGATGCAGTAAAGAGAGAAAGTATTAAGCTGAGATCACAAAAGCACATACATCTAGGATGGGGGAAGAATGATAAATAAAGGCAACTAAGATACGTATCATCAAAAAGGTCTGCAGAAGTTTGAGAAATACATGTGGCTGGACTGCTCTCGACCTGAAAAAAAATTTTATAATGGCTTTATGAACTCTGCTCCAGATGGAACCAGTGACAATAACATAAGAAAGCATTCAGGTGTGGTATTTATGGCCAGACTGGAAGAAAAGTATTACCTGCCAGGGGCAATGTCCACGGTGACACAAAGTTCCTCCCGTTATCCTGGCGTCATTGTGCTCTAAAGTATAGCTGATGTTCATCTGGATGAACTGAGGCGTGCCTGAAACGTTTCCCCAGTCGCTGCTCTGACTAAGCCCATCGTGCACAGTTTGAGTGGCCCCTGTTTTGTTCTGGCCAGTGCTCTCCCCTGTTCGGTTTTGCCCAGCAGCATTTTCTACCCTTTCTTTCTGTCTGGCAGCAGGTGCTGTGGTCTCGTTCTGCCATGCAGGGCCCTGGGTCAGCTCACTCCATGGAGCCGGGCCTCTGCCAGGCCCCGCGGTCCCCTCCACTGCCTCATCGTGCTCAGGAACAGCCGCCTCCTGCCCAGCGGCACTACCCCCAAGCAGGGTCTGGGTAACAGAGTCCACCAGTGCCTTGCTCCAGCTGGAAGCAACTCCTGACACCTCAGTTTGTCCAGCGTCACCCTCCACGCGCGCGCTCTGCCCAAAGGCATCCTTTACGGTCTCATTTACCCCAACAGCACTTTGTTCCGGCTCTGTTTGCCTAGCTGTGCCCTCCATGCTCTCATTCCACTTGGCCACATCATCCCCACGCTCACGCAGTCCCCTTGGGAGCCTTTTCTGCCCCAGTTGCGCTTTCTCCAGAGCCTGCCTGGCTTTAATCAGGCCACATGGAAATGGTGCTGGAGGGAGGAAAGACAGAAAAAAAGATTTGAGTTTAGGGTGTGTGGTGTCGTGTCAAACTCTAACACAAAACCAGCACTTTTCCTGTCCAAGACTGGGATTCAACCCTCCTGTAAGAGCCCAGAAACAACTCTGACATCTTGATGTCAAACTCCACTTTTGCCACCCACCCCCACCATCATCTGACAAAGGTGTGTAGAGCTAACTACTGAGAAACACAGCACACGGCTGTGCCTTTTCTGAACCGCAGGCATCAGCCACGGCTGGCTACTCCAGGAGCTGTCTGCCGAGGGCTCTCTTCCAGACAGAATCCAAACCCAGCGCTCCCCTTGTGACAGGACGTCTTAACACAAAGTTTTACAGACCCTTGTCATGTCCCCTCACCTCCTAATGCTGCAGTTTAGCTTTGTAACTCAGTTGATCTAAGTCTGTGCTGCTGTTAGAAGGAACAGGCCCACCCCAGACTGTACTGCTGGCTCTGGTACCCAGTACGTGCTCATGGGGGCACTGGATTAGAGACACACCTGACTGAGAAGAACCTTAAAATTTAAAATAAACAAAACATTATAAATAAGACAGATCTTTTCCATACACTAAGTGCAAGCTGCAGTAGCTACAGTGTGTGTAGCTCTTCTGCAACCAGTGAAAAGAGGGTGCCTGCAAATCTGCTCTTTACCTGAAGTGACTCCGAGCTGACCATGCTTTACCTGCTTGCACGCATCTCTTCCCGTCCTCATGCAGGGTGTAATCCTTTGCGCAGGAGCACACCACGTGAAAGGCGTTGCTGCTGTCCCTGCAGTACTGCCAGCACCCACCGTTCTTATACCAGCATTCAAACTTTTCTGTGATGGAAACGCACAGGCATTCACTTGGTTATTGCTACGCAAGGACCCCTGAGCAGCGCACAGCTTCTAGCACTATTATTATATGAAAGAAAGGAGAAAAAAAATCTGCTGAAATCTTGCAGGGAAACAGAAGGAACTACCTCTTACAGTTCCAGAAAACCGCGCGGATTTGTAGCAAACCAAACACATTGCCGTATGTCTATTGTTGTTCGCCTGTTTCTACCATTTTCTTATTTGCCAGCTTTGTCTTGAGACCACAGCTGGGCTCCAGGCCTTTCTGCCTGTAGAGCAGGGGTAAGAAAATGCCTGGAAGAACACTTCTAAATGCATCCATTTTTGATCCGTCTGCACATCTTATCTTTCATATCATGACAGATTTAAAGTACTAGGCATTTTGGTGACAGCCAAGTCTGCGAGAAACTGACTTTTTTATACATTGTTACATTAAAAAAAAAAATCATGTTTAATTGCTTCACTGTAAAAAGAAAAGGTTGACAAAAGCACTTGGGGGGGGGAAAAAAATTACTTATGATTCATAGTTTCCACATCAGTTTGGCTTTTGCTGTAATTTCATGCCTCGGTCATTTGCAAACTGGATACAGTATTTCAGAGGACCAAAAATCTGGTAAGAGGTAGGCAGCTTTCCTACTTCATTTTTCATCATTCATATATTACAACATAAGTACAATTTTTTTTGTTTGTTTACACTAAGCTTTGGCTAATTTGTTTGATGCATTTACTCAATAAAATGAAAAAGGGACTAGGGCCTCACCATAAGCCATCTCCAGTGCAGGTGGCTATGGCAGGAGTTACTAGACTTGTTATCACTCTAAAGTGATAAAGAGGTACTTCCCTATCCTTTCTTGGGGGAAGATGGGAGGTGGCCACATGCCTTCCTCAGGGCTTGCACAGATGAGTGCAAGAGCCCAGAACTGCATCTGCTGTATGACAGGAAGTGGTGCTGCCCTCTTCTTCTGCAGAGCAGAGCTAGAAGTAGCTACAGCTGCTGACACAACATGATCCCCTTCCTAGAGTGGTGGTGCCCCAACATGTCATATCAGAAAACACTGTTCTGATGTATGAATCTTAAACAACTGACCAGTTCTGTATCAGAGTCACCACTGATAACCTCAGTGACAAGCCTGTGCAAAGGCTCAGCTCAAGTATCCAAGGAGCAAATTCCAGCCTTAATCCTTCCTTCACAATGAACATTAATGTGTCTGTTCCTGTACTCACCTCTTTCACAGTTGTCTCCTCCAAATTTTGGGGGGCAGATGCAAAAGTAATTGTAGTGTCTTATTTTGCAGACTCCACCATTGTTACAGGGATTTGTACTACATGGATTTAAACCTAAGAAGAAGAAACAAGGCATAGTGTAGTTCCAGGAATTAAGAGAAGCCTGGCTTTAAACTGTCACATAATTTTGTGTACCCAGAAGGGACACAAGAAATAGATTTTTTAAAAATTCCTTTTTTACCTACCTTTGTAATTGAACCAAAACTCCATCTGCAAGAAGAAATCACAAATGAAGAAAACAGTCAATAAGTGGTCATAGTGGTTACAGAAAATGTAATTTAGAAAACTGGTTTTTAAGGGTGCATGTGAATTAACATTTTGAGTAGAACCATGTCGTGGTTTAGCCCCAGCCAGCAACTAAGCACCACGTAGCCGCTCGCTCACTCCCCTGCCCCGGTGGGATGGGGGAGAGAATCGGAGAAGTAAGAGTGAGAAACACTCCTGGGTTGAGATAAGAACAGTTTAATAACTGGAATAAAGTAGAACAGTAATGATAATAATAACAATATAATAATGATAATAAC